CTTCTTCCTTATTTTTCTCAACTCCATTGTATAGTGTTTTGATACATTTTATAATCATTTTTCTGAATTCCTTCTCTGGCATTTCCAAAGGCTGCCCATCTTCCAGTATGGCGTGTAGGTCTACTTCCAGCTCATTTGCCTCAGTCACTTTATCTCATTTCTGGACATGTGCTGATATGATCATCTGCTTCTCTTTTTGGGGCATATTCAGGAGTTATCTGTGGCCTTAATACTTAGATGGGTGTGTATTTTATGATTTTTTATGCGTTCTGATTGCCTCCAGGTAGATGTGATCAGGAAATGGGCTTCCTTTTTCACTCTTCTTCCTGAGAAGTTTCAATATGCCACTGTTGGTCATTGTGACATAACTCAGGATTTAATTTTCAGGCTATTTCCTTTTTAGTCTGCCTATCCCGCTCCACAATCCCTGTTCAGGCCTTTTTTTCTAGTTATAAACAGTTCAGAGCTGGCTGTGGCTGTTTGGTTTTAAGTGGAAACTGTCTCTTTAAATTTTGAGGAGATGTGTGTCCATGTGTAGTAGAACCCTCCAGGGGTGTTGTGTCCACTCGCTCTTGCACCCCCTGTAGTCACTAAAATGGAGGTGTGCAGACAGCGAGAGAGACCAATGAACAGATACCCAAAAAAATAAAGACTCTCCACACCTTTATTTCTTCAGTTCTGTCAGGTGTCTGTGGCTGCTCTGATCCTTCCCCAGTTTGGTCTTGCCCAAGATGGTGGCTCCAGGAGCAGCTGAGCGTCTTGAATTAGAAAGCAATGGATCTCTTGCTTCTGTTACAAATTCCCCTAGCTGTAAGCCTTCCAACCTTCTAAATATTACTTTATTTATGGTTCAGAATTCTGGGACCATCCCCTTAGCCTGCTTGGTCTGGTATTCTGTGTTGTTACTGACAGAGCTCCTCACTGCACTTCCACCTGATCCGCCATCTTGTTTGTTCTCTTAGATGTTTTTTAAAAATCAGGTTAAGGAATTTTCCTTCTATTCCCAGTTTTCTGCAAGTTTTTGTTAGGAAATGGTAGTAGATTTTGTCACAAGCTTTTACTGCGCTGATTGGAATGAGCATGTGGTTCCCTCTTTTGGTTTGTTAATATGGCAAATTACATCTGATTGGTTTCTGAATATTAAGCCAACTCCTCTTGGTCCTTTAGTAATAACCTTTTTATATATTACTGGATTCGGTCGGCTAGAATTTTGCTTAGAATGTTTGTACCATGTCTATCTACAGTGGATCTTCATCTGTGGTTTTTTTGGTAATGTCTTTGTCTGATTCTGAAATAAGAGCAATGATGGCTTCGGAATAGTAGTGATATATTCCCTCTTCAATTTTCTGGAAGATTTGTATAAAGTTACAATTATTATTTTTAGCTGTAGCTGGTTTTTAAAAAGAATTCACCAGTGAAATCATTAGTGGGGTGTGCTTTGTGGGAAGGATTTTAGCTACACATTCAATTCTTTAATAGTTATAGGGCTATACATACGATTTATATCTTTTTGGCTGAACTTTTGGTGGTTTGTGTCTTTCAAGGAGCCAGTCCATTTGCCTTAACTTGTTGACTCTTTTAGCACAGAGGTGTTTATACTCTTCCCTTATTGTCCTTGTAGGACAACCCTACTAATGGTACTGGTTCCCTGATCAGTCTGACTAGAACTGTATCAAGTTTGCTGATCTTCCCCAACAACCGCTTTTTGTTACATTGCTTTTCTCTTTTCAATTTCATTGCTTTCTGATACGATGTTCATTGTTTCCTTTTCTACTTTGGGTTTAATTTGCTCTTTTTAGTTATTTAAGGTAAAAGCTAAGGAGCTCTGGTAGCGTAGTGGTTATGAATCAGGCTGCTAACCTCAAGGTCAGCAGTTCAAAACTACCAGCTGTTCCACGGGAGAAAGGTGAGGCTTTCTGCTCCCGTAAAGATCTGCAGCCTCAGAAACCCTGTGCAGGGTCCCTATGAGTCGGAACCGACTCCACGGTACTTAACAACAACAACAACAAGGTAGAAGCTGAGGTCACTGATTTGAGAGCTTTCTCTTTTATATTTAAATTTCCTTTCTTGTACAGAGTTTATAGTTGAGTCTTGATGTAATATTATGATATCACAGTTGTTAGGTGCCATTGAATTGGTTCTGATTAATAGCACCTTATCTATGTCCACAATCTTTATGTCTGAGTCCATTGTGGCAGCCACTGTGCTGGTCCCTGTCACTGAGGGCTGTAATAGTTAAGGTTTTGTGTCAGCTGGCTGGCCCAGGATTCTCAGTGGTTTCATAGATGAGATGTAGCTATCCCACATGATGTGATTGGATGTGATAAACCAATACAAGGGTTAAGAGTGGGATGTTGTTGGTTTGTTAATTGCCATTGAGTTGGTTCTGACTCAGCAACCCTGTATAGAATTTCCAAGGAGCGGATCGTGGGTTTGAACGACCAACCTTGTGGTCTGCAATCCAGTGCTTATCCTACAGAGCCACAGCAGGAATCATAAGGTGGGATGTTGTTGTTGTTAACTGCCGTCGAGTTGGTTCTGACCCATAGCGACCCTGTATAGGGTTTCCGAGGAGCAGCTGGTGAGCTTGAACCTCCGATCTTGCAGTTCAAATGGCTTTACAGTCTGGGGCATTAACCCGCAGTGCCCTGAATCCCGCCCCCACCCCCTGATTCAGTTCACATGAGATTACCAAAGGTGTGATATGCAACACCTTTCATCTTATAAGAGACAAAGGATAGAGACCGATTACCACCAAGAGAGAAGAGCCAGGAGTGGACTGTGTCCTTTGGGCCTGGGGGCCCTGCATTGTGAAGCTCCTAGACCCTGGAAAGATTGATCCTAAGGTGGATGGAAATCTCTAAGGAAGCCTGGGGCTATGGATGCTGATAGGAGACATTTCCCCAAAGCTGACAAAGAGAAAGCTTTGGACTTCTAGCTTCCTGAACTGTGAGGAGGGATCAGTCCCTGGAGAAGGATTTCATGCTTGGTAAAGTGAAGGGTCAGCAAAAACCAGGGAGAGCCCCAACAAGATGGATTGGCACAGTGGCAGCAGCAATGGGCTCAAGTTTAACAACGGTTGTGAGCATGGCCCAGGGCTGGGCAGTGTTTGTTTCTGATGTGCATAAGGTTACTGATGGCACCTCACGGCAACAACCAATGGTGAGAGAATCAATGTCTTCTTGTTAAAGCCATCCACTTGTGATATTTCAGTAATAGCAGCACTAGATAACCAAGACAAGGGTCTTCCTCTTTCTTGTTGATCTTCCACTTGACCAAGCATGATGTCTTTCTCCAGGAACTGATCTTTCCTGACAACATGTCCAAAGTACAAGAGAGGAAGTGGTGCCATTTTGCCTTAAAAGGAGTAATTTGGCTTCCTCCTAAATAGATTTGCTTGTTCTCTGGCAGTCTGTGCTATATTGTGTATTCTTCACTAACACCGGAATTCAAAGGCACTGATTCTGCTCCGGTTTTCTGGTTTATTCATTGTCCAGCTTTTGCATGCATACATATGAGATGATTGAGAACACCACGGTTTGGGTTAGGTATGCCTTAGTCTTCAAAGTGACATTTTTGCTCTAAAAGAGGTCTTTTGCAGCAGATTTGCCCTATGCAATACATGGTTTGATTTCTTGACTGCTGCTTCCATGAGCGTTGATTGCGGATCCAAATCAGATGAAGTCTTGACAACTTCAATATTTTCTTCATTTGTTGTACTATTATTCATGATATGGTTAGAGTTAAGTCTATTATCTTACTGTTTGTTTTGTATTTGTCTCATCAGTTCTTTGTTCCCTGTTTCCTTTTGGGTGAACTCAGTATTTTTATGAGCTCCTCTTCTTTCCTTTCATGGCCTCGGACTCTATTTCTCATGTTCTGTTAGTGGTTGCTTTAGGATTTGGACAGAATTCCCCCTGTGTCTGTCTCTCAGCCACTAGCTGCAGCCCTGGCCTCTTTTTTCCTTGCTGCCCAGGTGAATGAGTGGCAGGAGGATTGGCCGACCTTCTTTACCCGGCACCGGCTCCAGGCGCAGCTGGACCTCATTGAGAAGGACTATGCTGACAGAGAGACGCAGGAGCTCTGGTCGCGGCTACAGGTGGGGCTTTGCCTTTCCAGGAAAAGGGGTAGCTTCTCACAAGCCCACCACATTTGTGTGGGACCTTCTGGGCCTGGAGCTGGTCCTGCTATGGACACATTTAAGTACCTAAATGTCGGCCTGCTGGAGGAGCTGAGCACATACTCCACTCCTGAGCTCACCTCTCACCTGCTCTGCCAGCAGGCTAATCTTAATCTTTCCTTATGTGAAGCAAACAGCTGCCATCAAGTCAATTCCATGTGTATCAGAGTAGAACTATACTCCACAGTGGTCTCATGGCTGATTTCTCCCCCAAAAATTTTGATCGCTGGGTCTTTTTTCCAAGATACCTGTGGGGGTGGGGACTCGAACCTCAAACCTTTCAGGTAATTTCATTATGTAAACTGGAGGTGACTAAAGAAGTGCTTGGTTCATGAAAGGTGGCACTTACCACAACTTTTATCCTCATTAACATCACGTGTCCAGTGTGACCCTGCCCCTCTCTGCTAAGGCTCCAGCATTTCCTATTTAAGAGAAAGCAGGTGTCCCAGAATGATAGCTTTCAAAATACAGTTCTCAAAAGGTTACAAATGGAATTCTTCCATCAACCCACGGTGAACAGCAGCAGAGATTTGATTTAATGCATTTTTCCACGGTCACACCAGGGACTGCAAACTACACCTGGGATAGGGATCCCTGGCTACAGAGGATTGAAGTTACCATGAATGAACGAGTCAGCAAATCACAGAAGAGGCGCAGACAATCTGTGCAGTGTATGAAAGAATAGGGAGAAAGTGCTGTGTACAAAACTGGTTCACGTCCCACAAGGCAATCAACCCTAACCTTCGGGCTGCTCTTGCCTACTGAACTGTTTCAGTACTGAACCATTTGTTAGTTTCCCACATGAAATATTACAGAATTGTATGTTATCTGGATCTACATTAGTACTAAATACTCAGATGTTTACTTTCCTCTGGAGTCAGAGGATCTCTGTGTCCTCTGTAATTCCATGCATGACTGTTTTCCTAGGTGAAGATTCCAGATCTGTTTGGTGGTCTGGAGATCATTCCTGCCTTGCTCCATGGTGACCTCTGGTCAGGAAATGTGGCTGAGGACCACGAGGGGCCCATCATTTATGACCCAGCCTCCTTCTACGGCCACTCGGAGTTTGAACTGGCTATTGCTTTGATGTTTGGGGGGTTTCCCAAGTCCTTCTTCACTGCCTACTACAGTAAGATACCCAAGGCCCCTGGCTTTGACAAGCGCCTGCAGCTTTACCAGCTCTTTAACTACCTGAATCACTGGAACCACTTTGGGCGGGAGTACCGCAGCCCATCTCTGTGTATTATGAGGAAGCTTCTGAAGTAGCACCGGCTCCCATCCCATGCCCTGTGAAAACACCCTGAGCCTTGCTTGCAAACAACTTAATAAAGCACTTGAAGCTGTGTGTCTTAGCTGTGTCTTCAACTGTTCATGGGGGTGAAACGCTCCACTGCGCTACACTCTTTCCCACAGGGGCTGGGACCACCAGAAAAGGTCTCCAACAGGCTGATGACATTTCATAATCTGGGGACAGAAATAAACACATAGCTGGGTTTGCTAAGGCTGAATCTGGACCATTTTCTCCTTGGGCCAGACTCAGGTTCCTGTCTGTGGCCTACCCAGACTTGAGTCATGCTGATTTGATTGGAGTACTCCAGCTGTGGGATTCACACCTTCTGTATGTAGCCACTACCTGCCCCTATTTGTGCTCTCATGTTTCAGGAATGTGTCCCTTCACACACAGTTTCTTTGGATTAAAAAAGAGGGAAGGGAAGAGCCGTGGGCAGTGGGATGTTAGGGGTGTCTAGGGAGGTCAGACCCTCTGGGAGGTCCATAATGTTGGGGTTCCATGTTGGGGGTTATACAGGGAGCTCAGAGCCTCTGGTTAGTCTGTGATCTTGGGGTTCCATGTGACGGGTGTCCGGGGAGGGCAGGCTCTCTGGGAGGTCCATTATGTTGGGGCTCCATGTTGGGGGTTATACAGAGAGCTCAGGCCCTCTGGGAGGTCCGTGATGTTGAGGTTCCATGTTGGGGATTATACAGGGAGCTCAGACCCTCTGGTTGGTCTGTGATGTTGGGGTTCCATGTGGGGGGTGTCCTGGGAGCTCAGACCCTCTGGGAGGTCCGTGATGTTGGGGTTCCATGTGGGGGTGTGTCCGGGGAGGGCAGGCTCTCTGGGAGGTCCGTGACCTTGGGGGTCCCAGGGCCTTCACTGTTAAGACAGTAGGTCCCAGAAGGGGTGGTGCCCACGTGCGTGCTTCTAAAACAGGTGCACCCTCTTCACGACTCCCACATGCTTGTCAAACCTCGCAAGAGAACCAGTTAGAACAGGCACGCATATTTCCGTCCTTTCTGGAAAACGTTGCCATGGCAGGTACACGAGGCTGTTTCCCAGTGCAGAAGGATGATTTAGGATACTTCCTGGAAAGATGTTCCCCGTAATGGGTTCAAAGGACAAACTACCACGGTGGGCTAATCCACGCGTGTCTGTCCAGGAGAAGACAGGCCGCGCTCTGCAAAGGCAACCGCAGGCCTCCCGCATAGATTCTGGTATCGTTCAGCCGCCCATAGGCCCCGCCCACATACTCAGG